CCCCCGGCGGGTAGCAGGAAGGTGAACTCCACGTCCGGCGGCGGCTGGGCCGCGGGCAGCGCGGCGGCGCCCCATGGCCCCGGCGCCCCCGCAAGCAGCAGCAGCCACAGCCCGTGCCAGGCAGCCGCCATCATCCGGATCTGAGCGCCGGCAGCAGCGCCTTTAAAGACAAGCCCCGCCCTCTCCATGGCGTCCGTCCCGATTGGCCAGCCTGGACGCGGGGGCGAGGAGAAGCGGGAGGACCCTGAGACGGAGGGCTGTCGGCGCTAAATGCCTGATCTGATGACACCCACAGCTTCCCCCACGACGCGGAGCAGGGTCAAGGGCCCTCTAGGGGAAATGATTGGGCGCAAGGAGCGGGCAGGGCCGGGACACCTCACGGATGCTCGGTGACCCGCGGCAGCCTGACCCCACGGGGGCCGTTCATTGGCTCCGCCTGCCTCACCTTCTGCAGTATCGCGCCATCCTATTGGCCCTCAGGCCCCACGGCCCCTCCTCCCGCCTTTTCCAGTATTACGTCAGCCCATTGGTCTACCTAGTGGCCAGTCCCCGCTGCTGGGGGGGAAGAGGGTCTAGACTACCAGAATGCACCTGGGCAGTGGTCAATAGCATAGCTTGGGTGGGGGTGGGGGGTCTCCACAGTGTCCCTACAGGGTTGCACCCCCAGGCAGCCAGTTGGTGTCCTGGTGCAAGTGGGGCTGACCTGCTGCAGCCTGGTCAGGCCTGAGGGACCCCTACAGCAGGTGGGGGAATCGTCCCCTTCTTCCTGCAGCAGGGAGGGGAATGTCGGGGCAAAGCTGAGGCTTGGGGTAAGGTGGGGGTTGGGGAGATCTGGATTTAGGGGACCCCTGTTGCTCCCCCACCCCCTTGGGATCAATCCCCTGGTGACGGGTGTGGTCAGGGGGATGGGGCAGGTGCCAGAGTAAGGGAGACTGAAAAGACGGGGACTTTTCAGCTCAGAAAGGAACAGGCTGAGGACAGGGAGAGGATAGAGGGCAAGAAAGGCATGGACAAAGCAAAGCAGCAGCTGTTATTCGCTGAGTCCTGGGATACTGCACAAGGGGGCACCTGCTAGAATGAGGAGGAGCCAGGTTGAAAACTAACGAGACAGGACTTGCCATTAACTTGTGGGATGCCTGGCCAGGGGAGGTGGTCAAGGCAGTGTGGGCAGGTTCAACAGGGGACTAGATCAGTGATTCTCAACCCAGGTGCTACAGCACCCTGGGGTGTCTTGAGATCCTTTCAAGGGTGCCATGTAACATTAGCATTGTTACGTGCGCCAGCATGGTTCACGAGATAAACCTAGAGATTTCTAATAAAAATGCACAGTTGCAGCCTTTTTTGAGTTCTTTGCAACAGAAAAACTTCTGAAGAGTGAAAATTTAGGAGTTGACATTTTCTGAGGGGTCCTCAAGTCTAAACGTAAGAAACTACTGGATGAGACCAATTTACAGAAGACAGTCCTATGGGGGCTGGACTAGATGACCAGTGGAGGTCCCTTCCAGCCCCACTTCTCTCTCTGATTCTAGGATTAATAGCAATTCATTAGAGAGTCAGTGTTTCCTCTGGCATCTCGAACCAATGATGATGGGTGCTAGGATGGGCAATGAATAGCAGATGGATCACTTTAGGTATATGTGGTTCAGTGCTCTCCCTCTAAACCATCCTTTTTTTTAAATATCACGTCTCGGGTCAAATCAGCCAAATCAATCTCGATTTCTATTGACTGAGCAGAGCTCGGTCATTCAAGTCTGTGGTGCTACCACTGGCAAGTATCCTACCTCCCAGACTCTTCAGCCTGGGGCTTCAGATACTCCCAAATCCATGGCAGGTATCCTACATGCAAACCCCAAGATGGGAGGCCTTGGCGTTCAGATGCTCCCTAGTTTTGCTTGCCCCTAGCCAAAAGACTGAAGGAGCAAGCTAGGGGGAAAGCCCAAGAGCAAATCCCTGTCACCATAAATTTTGTAGCCAAGATCCTTGGATTTAGAGGGCTCAGCCTGCAAGTGGCAGACTGCAAAGGACAGGCCTTCACCCTCTAACTACACCATGTCATTCAAAGTCAAGAAGGGGATGTCCCCTGCCAGGGAAATAAAACCACCTGGTCTGAAAACTGCCTAATGGTATCTCCCCTGCCGCTTCACCACTGTCAGAGACAGAACACTGGGCTAAGATGGACAGTTGGTCTGACCCAGTGTGATGCTGCTAGTGTTCTTATAATTGAGGCTGATTAAGGAGAGGGCGAGATGAGACCTTTAGGTGAGGGGCTGTGGGGGAACGGAGCCATCTGTGCCAATAGTCAACGCTTTCCTCTTTGCAGGAATCCAATGGTGGGGACTGGGAGGCAGCAGTGGCAAATTCTAGTGGTCCTAGAAGCTTTGTCCTGCCTCCCAGTGAGAGTCAGACATGGAGGGAGAGGTTTAGTTTCACCAGCCTGGTGTCTCCTGAGCCCCCTCCTAGAAGGAGAGGGCTCAGCAAGGTTGGAGAGGATGGAGGGCAGTCGGCCTTCAGTGAGAACAGGTCTGATGTGGGCTATCCCACATGTACATGTGTGGCACGTGCCACCTGTTCACACACAGGTTACCCGCTCATGCAGCCCTGGACACCCCAACTGGCCTGGCTCTTGGCAGCAACAGGAGGAATTTCTACGGAAGAGAAGGTTGAGATGGGACTTGATAGCAGCTTACCATTATATCAGAGGAGTATATCAAGAGCTTGATGAACAACTGTTCACTAGGGCACCCCTGGGGAAGACCAGGAAGGCTGCTTCAGGCTTAATACCAGAAAAACTCCTTTACAGTCAGTGTCCAGACTGGAATAAACTCCCTCCAGAGGTGGTGCAGTCTCCTACCCTGGAGGTTTTCAAAACTGGACAGTCACCTCACTGGGGTCACTTGACCCCAGTTGTCTTCCTGCTTAGAGCAGGAGGGCTGGTCTCTTCCAGCCCCTAACAATCTATGAATCTACAGCTTGAGGTGAAAGCTGAGTGCTGGAAAGACACTCCCACACCTGCTGGATGCAAACCACATTTGCATCTGACTACATTGACACTGGGATTGGTCACTGCCTCTCATCCTTCCTGCCGAACTATCGCACACTG